CAGAAAATATAAAAAATAAAGCGCGAAATTTGAACTATCCAATAGGAGGGGGGCGCGTCTTCATCTTCCTCGTTGAAACCTGGATATTTACCTGCGGATTTGCATCCGCAGCTAAATTCGCATGTGCGTTCTAAATTCTATTCTAGGCCATGAAAACACAATCCAAGACCATGGTCCTGTTCGTCTGGAAATCATGAGCACGTCTATGTCCATTAATGGCCTCAATTTCACCTGCAAACGAGACGCCTAAAAAACACGAACCAAAACCTTAGATCCGGCTAGGGAGTTACAGGCTATATAAATGCAATTGGTTAATGCAGAAAGCTTGCAAATTGAACAAGGATCATGAATATGCAAAGATTTTGTCAAAAAAAATGCAAGAACATGGAGTTGCGATTTCAAATGAAAAGCGGTTTTCAGAGAATTACAGCGCGATTGAGGGGGTATGAGAGTGTGCTTTTGATTGCTTCTAACTCAGTAGATGTCCAGCAAGTGATTGGCGTTGAGATTTGGTTCTGAATTGGCCTCTATGCACGATTTCAGTTTCAAGCTTTTTTGCCAAATTTTCAAGTTTGCTTTTTGGTGATTCTGTAACCTCTAGGTCTTGAATTCGTATCCTTTGGCTTGTATATGTATGCAGCATTGGATTAGGTCAACAATTGAGTCTTGAATCTTTGCACATTGATGTTTGGAGATATGATTTGATTCACCATTGATAACCTTCCAATTTGGTCCAAAATCCAATCTTTTTGCACATGGAATGGCTGATAAGAGTTTGATCATGATGATAATTAATACCTATAACAACCAAAAAGATCCTAAGTCATCAATATTTGGATTTTATTTGATTTAAATTGATTTAAAATGAATTAATTCAATAAAAAATCAAATAAAATAGAAAAATTAATAAATGGACACAAGGCTGAATCTAGGACACGTGTGTAGTGTGACAAGATCAAATCAAGTGGAAAAGAATGGGCCCATTTGACAAAATTTGAATTTTTGGGGATAGTTGACTTTTGGCAATTTTGCAAAAATTCCCAACTTCAACAATGCATAACTTTTTCAATTTTGAACTTTTGGAGGTGTTCTTGGACTTTTTAGAAAGCTTGAGATGTCCTATAACCACCCCTTTTGGTATCATCTCATTTTGATATTCCATGCTCAAGTTATAATCTTTGGGAAAAAAAGTGTTTTTGTTGACTTTCCAAAATGACCTATAATGTCCAAATTTGTAACTTTTTGTGAGTGCATTTTCTGATCTTGGGGTATGAAGATGGATTGTAGGAAATTTCATCCTATTCAAAATGAGTTTTGGATGGGTCATTTCTCATAAAGTATGAGAAAGTTATGCTTGGTCAAATTTGAGTTGACTTTTTCTACAATACCCTAATTTAGCAACTTTTGAGTCTTGATGAATTTTGAGCAATCCTTGATGAATCATGATCAACCCTTGATCAAATGATGAAATATCCTTCAAAATGAGAATGTTGACAAAAAAACTTGAAGTTTGACTGTATTTGGGTCACAGTTGACTTTTGCCCTAGCACAGTCGATTTTTTAGGCCTTTGAGCAATTGACTAAGCAAACTCCATCTGCAAGGCTTGAAACTTGACATGGATGATCTTGAGAACATATTAGGACAATGTTGAGCATTTGGGGTCCCTTGGACTCAAGTATCTTGATGCAACATGAAACCCTAATTTGAGGTAGACTGCCTTAGGAGAGAGCTTGTCTAGCCAACCCTTGGACTACCTTGAACAACTTGGGGATCTTTCTTGAAATGTTTTGAGAAATATGAGAGGGCAAATTTTGGGGTACAGCAGTATTCTTCAGGCTAACATAACTTGGTTACTTGGGAATGGTAAACAAATTAAATTCTATAAGGGCAATTGGAGTGGAGTCCCTTTGCTGGAGAAAATGAATTTGAATGTTCTGATTGACAATGGTATCGATCCAGATTACTTGTTTGTGATATTCTGCATAATGGTAGGTGGGCTATTCCTTCTTCCCGACACTCTCTTTTTCCTTTCCTGCTTCAGGTAACATCTACTTTATCCCCCTCTAAACGTTTTTGACAGCTGGATTTGGTCTGCATCCTCTAATGACAGCCTCTCTCTCAAGGATGCGTATTTTTTTGTGTATGCGCCTTCGGCCAGAATTGATTGGGCTAGTCGTATTTGGAATTTAGATCTCCCTCCATCTAAGTCCTCTTGCTTTGGCAGCTTATGCATGATAAAATCTCGCCGGATGATAACATGAAGTTACGCGGTTACAACATGGCTTCTATATGCTAAAACTGTAAATCTGACTCTGAAACGGTTGTGCATCTTTTCTTGCACTGTCCTTTTGCGATCAGAATCTGTAAGTGGCTTTATTGCCGACTAAGCTGTCCTTTTAAAATCACCTCCAAGGATCATGTATGGTCATTATGTAACATGTCTTCATCTTCTCAAGGGTCGCTTGTTATAAAGGTTGTTATTGTCATCATCATCATTTCTATATGGTATAAGAGTAATTTGTCGAAGCATCACAACAAAACCTTGTCTTTGCATTCTTTCATCTTGGGCATTGTGGCTCATGTGCGTTTATCTAGTAATAGCTCCAAACTGCATTCTTTTTCATCTATGTCGGATATCATAATTCTTAAAGCTTTTAATATGGACATTCACCCTCCTAAGGCCCAATTGGTTATTGAAATTATTTGGCACCCCTGTGAGAAATTGGCTAAAGTGTAATTGTGATGGCTCCTTCAACTCTATGGCTAGTGGCGCAGGAGGTATTTTGCGTGATTGGCAACGTATCTTTATCTTAGGGTTCGCGGAGCAAACTCTCAGTCCCAGCTCCTTACGTGCGGAGTTCTCAGTGGTTTTAAGAGTCATAGAAATTGCTAGAGAAAGAGCATGGCTTAAGTTTTGGATAGAAAGTGACTCTATCACTCTTGTCAAATCTTTTTCAAAGGAGACTCTGGTCCCTTGGATGCTCAAGAATAGATGGAGGAATTGTAAACAAATGATTTCTAATATGTCTTTTGTTATTATTCGCATTTACAGGGAAGAAAACTCGTGCTGATTTTTTTGCTTCTTTGGGCCGCACTTCCCAACAGCTAACATTAGAGAGTTTTGACCTAATCCCCCCTCTCTTTTTGTGTATCACCTTTCTCTTTTATATATCATTACCTTATTTAAAAATATATAAAAATTAATAAATGCCACAAAAATAGCAAGGGTGCAATCATTCTTCCACTATTTGAAGATGGAAGACGCCAGTTTATCATTGCAAAGGTTCGTCCCAAGCAATATTTATATATTATGCACAATGATAAACTAGAAAAACAAAAATTGTCAGTAATATTATATACAATGTTTGTTTTAATGATGAGTCATTGCAAACAAATGGTTGGTCACAAAGACACTACAGAGTTCTTTTGGAGCTAACATACGCTTGGTGTTTTCAACTTTAAAAACCAGACATAAGATTTGTTGTTAGCAATTTGCACATCAGAAGCCTCCTCCCAAACAAAATACTCTGCTTTGCAATGGGAATATAAAGTAGCCATGGTGTCCTCCAAACTCGAGTTCCCACTTTAGTAGAGGGTTGTAGGCTACTGGTGTTTGTCTCTGTCTGTCTTTCCAGTTTCTATCATCTTAAACAACCTTTAGAATGTATTCCATTTGAATTGGCGCCTTTTCTTTTATGAATAACCATTTGTCACCGCACCTTGGGCTGAACATTAAACACTGAACCACAAATCACATTCGGACGAATAAACAAAAAACTAGTATTTGTTGAAATAGAACTCCACTAACATATCTAACAACTAATTTCTGACATTTTCCATCAAAAAACATATCAAACACCAACGATCGAGTAAAAGATACTTTTTTTTTAGAATTCATGATGTAACAGGCTAATGAAATACAAAACTGATTTGAAGAAAAAGAAACGAGTAAATACAAAAGGTAATGAGGACGAACAAAATTTCTTACCGATTATAGATTTTCTTCCTTCAGCTAGAAAGCCATTAATTTATATTTTCTTCTAGGAATTTACAGTTTCATTGACCAGCTGATAAAAAGTATGACAGGAATAGGGGAGCCAGTCTTTGTTATGCAAGTTAGCGGACAATTGTGATTTGTGAGTAACATATCAACAAAAATAAAGAAGTGGCTTGTCTCTAATTTAACTATAATCACCAAGATTTATGGTATTGTTAACCATACTGACTTTATAAATTTATAGAACACCATATTTCTATGATTTTGAGAATTGGGGGAATTGTTTATCAATACTTATTGAATGTATAGTTAGATTAGGCATCTTTTGGAACTCTAAGTGACTGACACCTGTAACCTTGAATAGCAGGAGATGCCTAATCTTAATCTAACTATACGTTCAATAATACTAGTTACAGAAGAGTTTGCTACTTCCTTCTTAACTAGAATGGGACTTACAAAAATATATGAGTCTTCATTCTTTGCAAAGTCTTTGCTAATATTCTTTGCAAAGTCTTCATTCTGAGTCATATGTGACAATGTTGCATGTTGGTTTCTGTGTTCAATAAAGTGTGTTGTTAAATCTCAGCTACAAGCGCTATTGCATAGCACAATTCAAACAAATCACTATTGTTCCATGATAGTGTGTTTTGAAATAACGACTAGCCGGCTATAGCAGCACTATAACACTGTTGCATAGAAGAATTTGAACAAATGTCTATTTTCCGTGATCTGCAATTGACAAAACTTTTGATTCAATAAAGAAAACGTTAACATGTGTCCTTCCCTAAGGGCACATATTAAAGAATTTAATATAAAAATAATGTCTTAGAGATCATGATTTCAATGTTTTAAAAGTTGAACATATTGTTTTTATCAATGCAAAAGTTCTATTAATTGAATCTTGAACAAGTGCCCTAAGAGCACAAATAATAAACAACAACAATCAAGCCTTATCCAACTAAGTGAGGTCAGTTACATGGATCAACTTCCGTCATAATGTTATATCCAAAACCATGTTTTTATCTAAATTGTTAATCTCGAGATTTTTCTTAATGACTTCTCTTATAGTCCTTCCTATGTCTTTCTCTACCTCTAACTATTTGACTCCTCTCCATCTGATCTACTCCCCTTACTACGGAATCTACAGGTCTCCTCTCTACATATCCAAACCACCGAAGTTTATTCTCCACCATTTTTTTGCTATAGGTGTTACCCTAACACTCTCTAATATAGTCATTTATAATTTTATCATGTCTAGTCTTACGACACATCCAACGCAACGTCTTCAACTCTGCTACATTTATTTTATTCTCGTGTTGGTTCTTAAGCGCCCAACATTCTATCACATACAATATTACAAGTTTTACCGCAGTCCGATAAAACTTTCCCTTCAACTTGAACGATACCTTTTTGTCACATAAAATCCCTGAAATCCTCCTCCATTTCAACCGCTCAGCTTGAATTCAAAAGGCACAAATAAGCAAGACCCTAAAAATGGTATTAGTATGAAAACAAATTAAATTGTCTGGTAAAAGGTATTCACAGGATGAAAAAGTTGACTTCCAGATTACTGCTTCACCTCCAAACACTTCAGCCTGAACATGTACACAGGACAAGAATTATTTTAAGGGAGACAAAAAAATGTACATCTTGCAACAAACAATCAACAAATCCCAAGGGATTTTATGCTACCTATCTGTGAAGGCTTTAAAAATGGAAAATGTCTCACTATCCATCTCAACTTTGTCTTCATTGATCATTTTGAGGATGTGTAGAGGTGGTTTTTTAGCAGAAAGGTGCATTCTAAGCAATATTTTGTACAACGATAAATTTCCAAGACCTAGATTATGAATATCTGTGATGTACTCATTTGCGTATTCAAAATTCCCACATTTCTCCAAATACTCAGCTATGGCTAATACAAGTCCTTGTGACAGCCTCCAATGACAGTCTTTAGACATAGCCAAAGCTCTTTTCATGGCAATAATAGCCTCATCCATTTTTTGGCTCTTGACATATCCTTCAATGAGAATCTCCCATGTCTTGTAGTTTGGACAACCACCCTTCTGCAATGTGTGAAGATGTAATGATTCAGCTTCTTCAATTGATCCATTCCGCACATACGCACCTAAAAGAACATTAGAGACTCTTATATCATATTTCAGACAATTAGACTCCCATTCTTTGAAGATTCTCTTGGCTTGTGCTATGTCCCCAAGCTTCACCAAGCATGTTAGTATGCAAATGTAGTTAGCACAACTGATTCTTCCACTAACAGCCTTACTGGCTTCCCACACCCGCAAAACTCCTTCCTTTTGCTTCAAAGAGGCATATAATGTTATGATGAAGAAGTAACCGAGACGATCACAAGTAGATAGTTTCTCTTCAGCATTTTTGAGAACCAAAATGGCTTTCTCAGATTGTCCTGCTTTCATATAAGCATTGGCTAAAGTAGCAAGACTGCTCCATCCCACCTCAACATTCTCATCATTTTGCATTGCTCTAAAAACTGTTTCCACTGCTGCAACTCCGTATCCTTTTCCCTCATCACAACCATTCATCCAAAGGTTGTAGGACAGAACATTGCAGGGTACTTTATTCCGTTTCATTTCCTGGATAACAAGAGGTACCTTCCGGTACTCACATGTAGCAAGATATAGTTTCATCATCTCATTATAAGGCTGAGGATTCACTACTAGCCCCAGCTCATAGAGCTTCTCCATGAAAGTCTCGGCTTTAGTGGTGTCCCTGTCTCTTACATAGCCACGGAGAAGTGGGAGATAGGCAGCTTTCTTTCCAGCTGAGTCGCCTATACTCATAAAATATTCTTCAGCTTCCATTAATCCATAATTCTTAATGATTAACTCCACTTTCATAGCATGATCAGCTGGATTCAGACGGAATGGTTTTTGGCTTTCCATCCACTTCAACACCTGTGCAAAAGAATACTTAACCAATTTAAATAAAATAGACTCTATCTTATTAAACCCTAAGTGGTGAAACCTTGCAACTGAATCTGATTAACAACTTTATATATTTGAATCTTACAGGTTGCATGAAAATCCGAACCTCGAATGCGTGGTTGTAGCGTTTGGATTTAATTAGGGTTCTGGAGATGCCTCTCAGTTCCGTGGGTGAAAGCTTGTTACCTTGGTCGATCCAATTTTGAAGCACCGGCAATGGACTCCGACTTGGAGATTTGAATCCAGAAATCAGGCTCTTCAGGTTCTGTTTCTCTGAAATGGCAGAAGCGCGAGATTCTGGTTGGATCCAAAGATTTCGTGCGCTCGAAACAAAACTGATGCTGCTGCGAAATGGTTCATCGTGAGAACACGAAAGAGAACAAGGGATTGAAGTGAGAGTTAGGGTGTCATACCGTTGTATGAAGGTGCTGAGAATGTGGTTCGCCATCGGAAGCTACGGCAGCGCCGATCAAGGTCTGCACGGTAGAATTCACTTTGTTAAATGGAATATATATTTGCCTCTAAATTCAAATAGATACACTATAGTGACACATCAATTATTAATATAATAAAGTAATATAATATCAAAATTATTTTGGTCCTCTTTAAAAAATTTAATAAGAGATTTAATTTGGAAGATAACGTAGATAATTTGCAAGTATAATAATTATTAACAAAAAAATTAATAATAGCAGTTCAATTTGACACGTGACATATCGACAATGATAAACATAAATATATTTTTCATGACATATATGTTTTTTATATTAATAAATTGTAGAAGATGAAAAACAAATTATTAAACAAATTGATTCGTGCTATTAAAGAGTTTTATGAACACTATTAATTTCAGACACAAGAATAGAAGTATATGAGAAGAATTTACCTACGAAGAATTTTCAATTTATTTTCTAGACTTTGACTTGTTCAAGCTATGAATGCAAGTGTGGTTGTGTACATTGATTGTTGTTTTTCTTATGAAAATTGAAATCAAATCCGTAAAAATTTTGTAACCGAACAGAGTCGAAACAGAGAGATGATTATTGAAACAAAACAGTAATAAGCGACTTAACGGGACATAAAGAGTTTGGATCCAAATTTTGAGGTTATGCAAACGAAATCGAAAGTGTGAAAATATGATAAGGAACCGTGAAAATGAAAGCAGGATCGTTGTTGTTTGTTTTCATGAGATTTGAAAAGAACAGAGAGTGAGAGAGCGAGTTTGAGAACAAGGAGAGAAAGATGAAAAGAGAAACAGAGATGAGAAGGAATCGACAATGAAATGGAAGTGTGGCAGACAGAGGGAGGTATCGTGTGCTTTATTCTACATATCTTGTTTTTAATAATTGATTTAATGTTTTTCTCTTTACCCTTTTCCTTCTTTAATAATTAGGATTTCTGATGGACCTTACAACATCCTTTAGGCTCATTCTTTGCTTTTATTTAAATTTTATTTTCCTATTTTTTATTTTAATTATTATTTTATTAGGAAATATCTTAAACTACTAAAAAATATATTTGTGACGGGTCAACACTATTTAATTTGTATATCTTTTATATACATTTCTTAACCATCATTATATTATATTTATTTGCTATTTATAACGATATTGCACAACCATACAAATACACCGGTAGATAATCAATTTTATATATGTGTGTGAAGTGTACTAGATCATATACTCATATTTTTCAACATAATTTCTATGTATATCTTGACAATTACTACAACTTAATAAATTAAATTAAAATTTATGTGATAATCATCATTTAAAGCTTTTTTTCTTAATTCATATATATTTTTATATACATTTCTTAACCATAATTATATAATCTTTATTTAATATTTGTATCGACTTTATGCGACTCGTGCGACCGCACGGGTCCTTTACTAGTTTATAAGCAACAAAAATGTTTCAATTCAATTCTTACTCACTATTATAAGCAAAAGTTAATCATTACTAAATTATTTAATATTATAATTTTTAATATACACCTATGTCTCTATTTCATTTTTTAACATTTCATTAAATTTAATAAAGAGGACATTATAGTAAATTTAATTAATATTTTCACTAAAATCTAAAAAGTTTTTTTTAATAAAAAATATATATTAATTCAAAATACACAAATACAAACAAGGTGATCGCTCGAATCCAATCCTCCAACCAATCAAAACCAACTAAGACACAAAGCTAAATCATTAACCTAGCTATGTAAGCTATAATCTTTCTACTATACCAATCCCTATATACAATCATATCAATAATGTTGACTCAATGTTGACATTGCCAATACTATCACCAAACACCTTCTTGTTTCTATATCTCCAAAGCCCATAAATCGTCTATGTGACAGCCAGCTTAAGTAAGGCACTTCTCCACTTTTTCCCTTTAGTTTTGTGCTCAAGCCACGCCAATTCTCTATCTCAATTCATGGGCTCATGTTTCACACCTATCCACTCAAGAATGATATTCCAAATCAATCTTATATCCGCACAATCAAAGAATAAGTGATTTAAACTTTCATCAGCATCCCAAAAACAACATTTCCTGTCTATAATAATCTCATACTTTACCAATCTATCTTTTGTGGCAAGCCTTTTATGACAAGCTAGCCATAAATTTATGGTGGCCCTTGGCCTAGCACCATTATAGTACAACATATTACTCTAAGGTATATCAGTTCCACCATCTCTCAGCTTAATGTAAATACTCTTCATATGGAATTTTTTTCATATTCACCATCAAATTCCATTTGCTCTAAATCTTGCTGATATTATCTTTCTGCTTCATAATTGCCTCCATTATCCAAGAACTCTCTTACTTTGTAGTCACCTCCATACCATTTTTATTTTTGAAATAATAGATGTGTACCCACCTCACCTACAAACTATCTGCTTTACTGCAAATGTTCCACAGAAGCTTAAGCATTGCGACATTGCTCCAAGTTTCCATGTCAATAACATTCAACCCCCCTTGCTTTATAGGTCTGCACACATCACAGGACTTTTCCTGCTATTATCAACTCCACCTGTCCACAAAAAGGTTCGGCAAATAGAATTAATTTTCCTAACCACATAATGAGATAAGGGGAAACATTGCATCTAATAATTTTCCACTGCAAATGTGACACTCCTCAGTAATTACAACCTCCCTGCATAGCTAAGAAAATGAGTGGTCCAGTTTCTCATTTTATCCACAATCTTGTCAATCAAGCTCATATAATGATTAAGGGGCAATCTTTTACAAGTTAATGGCACACCAAGGTATTTAAAAGGAAGGGACCCTTCTAAAAATTAAGTAGCTTGAAGAATATCTCTCTTTGTAGCTTTCTGGACTCCTCCAAAATATATTCTACTCTAAAAAGTTAACTACACTTGATTGAATTTTTTTAATATCCGTGAAAATTATTTTTGTTGCTTATAAATATGTTTGGAGATGTAAAACAATGACATT